GCCTGAGGGTGCTCGTGGCTCTGGAGGAAGGTGACCAGCTGGGACCTGCTGACGGTGCCCACCAGGGTGGGGGACCCTGGAGGGAGGGGACAGAATGGGGACGGTGTGGGAATAGCAGGGGGACACCAAGGGAACAGAATGGGAATAACGGGGAGGTACTGGGGACACTGAGGGGACATCCCATGGGGACAGGATGGGAATATCGAGGGGACATCCCACAGGGACACCATGGAGACAGAACAGGAATATTGGGGGAACAGCATGGGGACACCAAAGGGGATGGGGACAGCACTGGCACAGTACAGGGACACCATGGGGACAGTATGGGGATACTGAGGTGGCACCATGGCAATACGGAGGGCACAACATGTGGGCACCAATGGAAACAGGACAGCCTGGGAATGACAAAGGACACTGCAGGAGCAGTTTGGGGACACTGCAGGAGCAGTTTGGGGACACTGCAGGAACACCCGACAGGGACAGAGTGGGCAAGGCATGGAGACAGCGTGGGAATATCAAGTGGGCACTGGGGGGACACCATAGGGACAGCATGAGCAGACACAGAAGGGCCACCACAGGCCCAGGGACTGGCCACCCCCCATGGTGACAGTGACCCCCAGGTCCCACATCCCACCTGTGCTCTCCACCACGGGGTACTCGGCATCGGCAGAGGCGTCCAAGGCTACCAGCACCTCCTGGAAACCGTCCCCCTTGGCCAAGGCCACCACCTGGCGCTCCATGAACTCCTCCACCGTCACTCTGTAGGAGCTGGCGAGCACAAAACGCCCCAAATTTCCATCGTTTCCTGGAGAACGCCCCCAAAACGTGGGGCTTTGGGGCGGGGGCTTACGCGATGTGCCGGCTGCGGATGGGGGGCAGGTAGGGCAGCTTCTTGACGATGATGCCGGCGTCGTAGAAGGACGGTTGGTTCTTCTGGCTGATGGCGTTGGCCACCAGCACGGCCAGCACGGTGGGCAGGAGGTGGCCCAGGTGCCCGGTGGCCTCACACACCAGCAGGGCCGTGGACACCGCGTGGGTCACCGAGCCCGCGAATGCCGCAGCGCCTGCCAGGGAAGGGGGGGGTCAGGGGCTGGGGGTGACCCATGGGTGTCCCCCTGCCCGTGGGGGTGTTCCCCAACCCCCAGACTCACCAGCCAGGGCGTAGCCAGCGGGAAGAATGGGCCGTGGGGGTCCATCTGAATGGAGCCCCTGTGGGAAGAGCAGGGCCACCACCTCTCCTGTGAGGCGCCCGATGGCTGCTCCTGAAATTGGGGGAGAAGGGAAGGTGGGGAGGTCCCAGAAGCCTCCCCCAAAAATGGTGGAGGTAGGGATGACCACCCTCCTGCAGCCAGATACCTCCCCTGTACCCCCAGACTGGATGTACCCCCCTCCAGGGCTGGATACACCCCCAGTGTCCCACTCCAAAGGCTGAATGAACCCCCTGCACCCCCCCCTGGCCTGGCTGTCCCCCCCATGTCCCCCCAGCCCCCGACTCACCATAGATGAAGATGGGCATGAAGTACCCAGCTGGCAGGGGCAGGGTGGTGGCCAGGATCAGCATCCAGAACTGGGGGGACACAGGGGGTCACCCCATGGGGACACCGTGTTGGGGGGCACACCCAGAGACTGGGGGGGCCATGGTTACCTTCATGAGCAGGAAGAAGGCCAAGGTGCCGTAGATGGTGGCAGAGGGATGGTCCCACTCCTGCCAGAGGCCCCCAGGCTTGGCCACCCCCGAGGCGTTGGCGGCCAGCAAGCCCCACGTGCGGTTGTCAAAGAGGGAGATGAGATGTTCCTTCATGGTGAGCTGGACAGATGGACAAATGGGCACCCTGAGCCTCCCCCGCTGCGAGGTTTTGGGGTCCCCAGGGAGCCCCAGGTGTCCCCACTCACCCTGGAGGCCATGAACTGCCCCAGCCCGGGCGGGAAGGTGATGGAGGCGAGGAGCAGCACCACCAGCACCGTGTACACGGGTTTGCTGCAGGGGGACACGGGGGCTGGGCACGCGGGGACGGACAGACGGACAGGGGGACCCAGGGACAGCCGGGGTGGATGGGGTTAATGGGGGGACATCAGAGCACCCAGGGTCAGTGGGGGGGGACATACGGATGCACAGCGTGGACACACCCATGCACCCAGTGTGGATGGGGTGGGGTGAGCGGGGTGCATGGGGGGCATTTGGGACACTTGGGGTGCAGGGAGGGGACACAGGGACACTCGGGGTGCACGGGGTGCATGTGGAGGGTGTATGGAGTGGATGCATGGACGGCCAGAGCGCACAGGGTGGACATACAGACACCGAGAGTGGGTGGACAGGGGGTGGAGGGGGACACAGGGACACCCAGGGTGGATGGGGGAGGACAGAAGGACACCCAGGGTGGATGGGAAGGACACAGGGACACACAGAGCCTGCACGGCACAGACACACAGGGTGCAGACAGACAGATGGACGGACGCCCAGTACAGACTCGGTGGCCAAGAGCTTGGCCGTCAACCAGTTCCTCTTGATGGCCACCATCATCCAGCGCTGGCAGAAGAGATAAGCACAGGCCACGATCCCACAGATGGTCCTGTGAGGAGAGGGCAGGTAGGGAACAGGCAGGGCACGGGCAGAGCACAGACAGCACCCCAAATCCAGACCCTCCGTACCCCAAAATCAGAAAAAAGAAGGTCTCCAGGAGGTCGAAGGGAAAATCAATCTTGAGGTCACTCTTAAAAACAGCGGCAATGGTTTCTGCAATGGGACAGGAATGAGGGTGTGGGTTTGGGGGTGAGCACCCCAAAAATGTCACGAGGGGAAGAGGGAGCACGTCCTGCCTGCCCTGCCTTGCCTTGCTCGCTGTTGAACACGGCCAGGAGCCGAAACATGAAGGCGCCGCAGCTGGCGGCGAAGAAGCCGCGCCAGTAATCCCGCACGGCAAAGTGGGGGGACATCACCTCGATGCTGAAAAGCACCCCTGGAAACACGGGGGAAGGGATCAGGGCGAGGTTTGGGGGTGCCCAGGGGGGGGTTAGGGGGGTCCTCACCGCTGATGGGTGCTCCAAAGACTGTGGCCACCCCGACGGCTTGAGCTGCCACCAGCATCTCGTGCTGCTTGAACTTGTTCTGTAAGGTCGGGGGGGGGTTAGGGATTTGACTTTATCTCCAACTTTTTGGGGGTAAAATCAAATCCCTCCGTTCATTTTTTTGAGCGGTGGCACCCCCACCTCATATTCCCTCGTGACCGTGGTCCTCATCTTCCCCAGATAAGCTGCGGCCATGGCAGAGAGGTGGACATAGGGACCCTGGGGGGACACAGCGCTGAGCGACCCCCCCACCCCGGCACCAGCTGGAGCCGCCGGGCATTTTGGGGTTCAGAAGGGGATCCCTCACCACTTTCCCAAGGAAAACGGTGCTGCCGCACGTCAGGGTGCAGGTCAGCCCCACCACCTTGGCTCCGAAGTTCTGGATGGCCAGGTAGTCCTCCAGCACCACGCCCATCAGGATGGTCTTCAGCTCCGGGATGCCGGAGCCTGGAGGAGAGGCAGGATCCAAATTTTAGGGATCCCTCATTACCGAGGGGGCATTTTAGGGAGCCAGGGTGGTCGGGGTAGCTGGCTCACCTCCGGAGTGCGGGGTGATGCTCTGGGAGAAGCCGGTGGAGAACGCGGCCAGTGCCGTGGGGAACAGAGTCCACGAGAGGTACTTGAGCACCCCGATGTCCCCGATCTCTCGGTACAGCCACGTGTGGGCTGGAGGAGAGGTGTCAGGCGGGGAATGCACCCCCCAGCACCCCCTTTTGCACCCCGAGAGACCCGCCCTGTATCCTCGGTGAGCCCCCAAACGCCGGTGGAGCCCCCCGGGCACCCCTCGTTTACCCGCGTGGATCCTGGTGGTGATGATGTCCATGGTGAAGCTGATGGTGGCCATGAGCACGCCCAGGATGAAGAGGAAGTACCAATCCTCCCCGACGCGGAACAGCTGCCGCCTCACCCACTCCAAGCACCCTGCGAGGGGGGAAACAAGGTGCTGACCCCCCCAAAAAACCCCCGCCTCCAGAATCCCCCTTTTTGGGTGGGGGTCTCACCTCGGACCCTTCTCCTGGCAGTGGGGCAGGGTCTCCAGCTGTGCTCCGACACCAGCACCCTCTCCTCCTCCTCCTCCTCTTCCTTCTCCCCCCGCAGCCCCCCGGGGACGGGGCGCTCCATCCCGGGGACCTTTTAGGGGACCGCACCCCCTTTTTTTGTAGCACCCCCTGGCCCGTCCTCCCGCCTCGGCCTCCGCTGCCCGACTGAGTTTGCAAACGAGCTCATTAAAAACGACCTTGACGAATCCGACGGACCCGCTCGGGCCGGAGCGAGCCGGGTTTCCTCCCCCCTCCGCCACCCTCCAGCTCCCAGCGCACATCCCGCGGCGGGGACGATTTAATAAGTATTTTAATTCATTGTCGTGATTATTCCTTAATAATAGGCATCGCATTCCATGGCGTTGAGCTGTGGGGGGGGGGAACGGAGAGGGGAAAAATTTCCACCGTCGCCGGCGCAAGACCTAAATTTAGCCGGTTTTACGAGAGGTCTGGCAGGCGGCCGGGAGCCTTAACGAGGCTTTAAAAAGCTCGTCAAGCCGAAATATCCCGAAATAACCGATCCGGCGTCGCCTTCGCCGGGAGGAGAACGAGGAAGGGGGCTCCGCTGTTCCCCCGGCGGGAGCCGGGGCTCGCAGGTGGGAGCAAGCGGTGGGTGACGGGGAAATCCTCGCCCGCCGGCACCATGGAGCTTTTTGGGAGCTTTGTCCGGCCCCACGGGGAGACCTTGGGGTTCCCAGGTGAGTTCGGGGCGCACCCGGGAGGTATTTGGGGGGGGATCCTCGGCAAGCCGCGGCTGTGACCCCCCAAACCCTGGCCAGCAGCTCGCCCCGGTAACACGGGCGTGGTGAAGACCCTGGGGAACACCTACCAGTTCACGGTGGATGTCAGCGACTTCGCGCCCGAGGACATCATCGTCACCACCTCCAACAACCAGATCGAGGTGCACGCTGAGAAGGTGGGTGCTCCCTCCCTTCCCTGCTCACCCCCAAAGCGAGGACCCCCAAAATCCTCACTGGGTGTGCCCAGCTCCCACCCAATTCCCGAACAGCTGCAGCCACAACCCCACTGGGGTTTAATTCATTAATTAATGGTGATCACAGGGAATAATGATTCCTCGTTCCACTTGCACCCCAAAATCGCCTCTTTGCACCCATTTTTTTCTCCCAGCTGGCCACGGATGGCACCGTCATGAACACCTTCACCCACAAGTGCCAGCTGCCCGAAGATGTGGACCCCACGTCCGTGTCGTCCTCGCTGGGGGACAACGGGACGTTGACCATCCGGGCTCAGCGCCGGCCGGCCAAGCACTCCGAGCACGTCCAGCAAACCTTCCGGACTGAGATCAAGATCTGAGGGCTCGGGGGGCTCCTTTCCCCCCTCTCCTTTCCCTCCCTCGCTAATTAAATGGGTGATTTGGGGAGGAGGGGTGGGATGTGGGGTAGGGAATGGGAAGGCTCCCTCCAGAGTGGGGTCAGACCTGTGCTGAACGCATCCGTCACACACCGGAGGGGAGTCCCAGCTCCGGTGATTTTTAGCTGGCGTGCATTGAGGGGGGAGATCCAGCGTGCCAAGAGTCCTGCTGGGAGCCAGGTTCCCTTCCCAACCCTCCGCCAGAGCTTGTCTTTGTATATAGAGCTTGGGATAAATTATTGAGAACGCCTGACTGCCGCCTTCTCCGTTTTTTGACGTTTCCCTGACGCTTTGCCCTCCAAAAGGGGTGTGGGTTCAGACCCGGGGGGTGCCTCGGTGAGGGATATTCCCCCATCCCGACAAAAACCCGCACCGGGAGCCGCTCGGGCGCCCGCTGCCCCGTTTATTTCCAGCCCGGGGTGACTCATTTCTTCCCCGAAGCTCTATTTCAGAGCCATTCCCTCAGCTGTCCGGCTGCCGACCCACCTGGAAGGGCACCAAGCCCTCCTCCTCCTCCCCTCGCCCACCTGCGCCCACCGCCCTGGGGATGCCCCGAGGAGCCGGGGATGAGGAGGCGAACCCAAGGGCTGTGTTTTGGGGGGAGGAAGGGCCGGGCTGTGTGTGTACCCACAACAGCAGCGCCTGTTTATGGCTCCGCAGCCTGGCAGCGGCCCAGGCGCGGCCTCCGCCGGGCAATCCCTGCGGGAAAAAGGGCTCGGAGCCCGGGCTGCGGCTGTGCGGCTCGGGGGGCCCGGGGGGCGGCGGCCGCCGGGTCCCGGCCGCGGTGTCAGCGGTCAGGAGCACACAAAATCGCGGGGTGTGATTCCCTGCAGTGCTTTATTGAGAGCTCTGCGAATCAGGGGTGCACACCCGAATCTGACTCCGACGCGGCTTTCGAGCTGAACGTATTTTATATTCTATAGTTATACAACTTACATATTCATTATTAAACTTATATTGTTCTGTTGTATACATTGACATGAGTTTCTCGTGATCTTTCTTAGGTCCCTGACCACAGTTCTTACGATCAAACAGTAATTATATTTAATTACTAAACAACCATCACATCTAACAATTATATCATTTGTCATGTACTAGCTACACAGGTGCAGTTCTAGCAAGGTACAAAGTCTTCATGTACTTAGGGTATTTATTTATCTTTTCAGGACCTACTAAGCTTAATTTTCCTTTTAACCCTAAATCCCCGTGATTTTAAAACCCTTTTACTATCAGTCCCCAGAGCCACCCCGGCACCCAGCGCCGGTCACCGGTTGCCATCTAGCGGCCCCGGCCCGGGGAGGTGCGGAGGAAGGAGGAAGAAAATTGGGAAAAAACACTCGATTTCTGCCCGAATCGCTGTGGGACAGCGGGGACGAGCAGAGGGATCAGCCTGGCCCCAAACACACCCGACAGCAGCTCGTTCATGGCAGGAAAGCTGGGGGGAAAAAAACAGGATTTTGAGACGTGTTAAACTCTTTATCAAAAGTTTAACACATCTCTGGACAAGGGGATCAAAGGTAGTCCTGTAGCAAATACAAAACTTTTTCACTTATTTATACATTGTCAGCAAACAAATAAATTAATGTTTATCGGTTCTAAGACATAATTCTCCTCATTAATTAACATACTGTCCTCTGCTGGTTATTGATTTCTATAGTCCTTTTATCTTCTTGAAATCTCCAGCTTTCCAGGCCTTAATCTCCTCTCCATTTTTTGGCTACTCCAATGTCCTTGAAGTGCCATAAATTTAGGATCCCAGATGTTCAATCTTCAAATGCCTTTGGCTTTATAGAATCTTGTTAGGGCTACTTTTAACAAACTGAAGGTTTTGGTGATTAATGATTTGAGTAACAAGAGTCTGTGTAGAAACTTAACTAGTAGTGGCCGAAAGTGGGTGCTGCTTGCAATTAACTAAAAGAACTAATTAAAAATTAGTTAGGAAAGTTGTATTATTTCCAACAACTGGGAACCTTCTCCCTCACAGGATGGAGCCAAGAGAACAAGTGACAGGAAAAGAGGAACGGCATCAAGTCGTGGCAAGGGCGGTTTATGTTAGATATACGGAGAATTTCCACGGAGTGGGTGGTCAGGCACTGGGACAGCTCGGGGTGGTTTAAGCAGGGATGATGTGGTGATTGGGAACATGGCTAGCGATGAACGCAGCGGCGGTGCCGGCACCGGGACCTTCGAGCCTCACCGCTGCGCTCATGGCTCCTTGTGGCCCCCTCATGGCCCCTCACGGCTCCCCTTGGTCTCTCATGGCTCCTGTCAGCCCCTCACGGCTCCCCTCAGCTTCTCATGGCCCCTCTGGGCCCCTCATGGCTCCTCTGGGGTCCCCATGGCTCCCCTCAACTCCTCATGGATCCTTTCTGTCCCTCTGGGCCCCTCATGGCTCCTCTGGGGTCCCCATGGCTCCCCTCGACCCCTCATGGATCCTTTCTGTCCCTCATGGCCCCTCATGGCTCCTCTAGGGTCCCCATGGTTCCCCTCAACTCCTCATGGATCCTTTCTGTCCCTCATGGCCCCTCTGTGCCCCTCACAGTTCCCCCTGGTCCCTCATGGCCCCTCAGTCTCTCATGGCCCCTCAGTGCCCCTCATGTCTCCCCTGGGTCACTCATGGCTCCTCTGTCCCCCTCATAGCTCCTCTCAGCCCCTCAGTGTCCCTCATGGCCCCTCTGTGCCCCTCACGGCTCCCCTCGACCCCTCATGGCCCTCTGGGTCCCTCATGTCTCCCCTGGGTGGCTCATGGCTCCCCTTTGGGTCCATCACGGCCCCTTTGGGTTCCTCATGTCGCCCCTCCGTGCCCCTCATGTCTCCCTCAGTCCCTCATGGCCCCCCATGGCTCCCCCCGGTCCCTCACGGCCCCTCCGTGCCCCTCATGTCTCCCTCAGTCCCTCTGTGCCCCCCATGGCTCCCCCCGGTCCCTCACGGCCCCTCTGGGTCCCTCACGGCCCCTCCGTGCCCCTCATGTCTCCCTCAGTCCCTCACGGCCCCTCTGTGCCCCTCATGGCTCCCCTCGACCCCTCATGTCTCCCTCAGTCCCTCACGGCCCCTCTGGGTCCCTCACGGCCCCCCCGTGCCCCCCATGTCTCCCCCCGCTCTCTCAGCGCCGCCCCCCCGCTGCCATGGCGGCGCCGCTGCGGCAGGAAGGGGCGGGAAGGTGACCGGCCGCGCCGCGCACGCGCAGTGGCGCCGCCGCCGCTGGGCGGGCCGGGGCGACGCCGCTTCCGCCCGGCGCCAAGATGGCGGCGCCCTTTGTCTGGTCGGTGTCACGGTGAGGGCCGCGGGCCGCGGGTGAGGCCCCGCCGGGCCCGGCATGGCAGGTGCGGCGTGGGGGCCCCGGGAGAGCGCTGGAGGGGCTGGGGAGAGCGCTGAGTAGGACACGAGCGCTGGGAGGGGAGGAGGCCGCGGCCTGGCTCGCTGCCTGTGGGGTAGCGGAGCCGCTTTGGGGGTCACCCCGGTTCTTTGCGCGGCCCCCGGGTCTTTGAGGGCACGCTGCGGGAGG